TCGCTCGCTTGAGTAGCAAACGGAAGCAGCCATCTAATTGCTGAGGAAAATGTCTGAAATGAATTGGTGGTGCAGCTTTCAAGGGGATGCACAAGCTTCCTGTGACTTGGAGCACTGAATCTGCTTTCATGCCAGGGCAAAGACTGTGGTCTGTCATGCCTAGCAGCTAGAGTGGGACTGGGATTTGGACATTTTCAGCATGGGCTCAGATCAAGAACCACAGAAGCTGAGGGTCTGGACAAAAAGGGCTGGGGCTCTGGCTGATAGTTGTATCAAATGGACAACAAAGACAAGGATGTGAGCAGAGAGAACCTATACTGGAAGTCCCCAAATCTGTGCTAAAAACTGCTGCCTGCAATGAGGGATGTATTGAGAAGGGGCAGGTTGGGACAGGCTTGTTAGGAGGGGAAGGTAAGCTGGGGAAGGGGAAGGCAACATGAGGCAGAAACTAGAATGATGAAACTACAGACCTTGGTAAGGAAGGCACAAGTCTGTGGGACCTGATGAAATGCATCTGTGGGTCCTAAGGGAACTGGCAGATGAAGTTACTAAGCCACTATTTGTCATATTTGGGAAGCTGTGGCATCTGGTGAAGTTCCCACTGAGTGGAAAAGGGGAAACATAACCCTCAATTTTAAAAAGGGGGAAAAAAGAAGAGCTGTGGAAATACAGGCCAGTCACTCATCTCTGTACCTGGCAAGATCATGGCGCAGATCCTCCGGGAAACTATGCTAGGGCACATGGAAAATAAGGAGGTGACTGGTGACAGCCAACATGGCTTCACTAAGGGCAAATTGTGCCTGACAAATCTGGTGGCCTTCTATGACAAGGTTACAGAGTTGGTGGATAATGGAAGAGTGACTGACATCATGTACCTGGACTTGTGCAAAGCATTTGACACTGTCCCACACAACATCCTCATCTCTAAATCAGAGACAGGGATTTGATGGATGGACCACTTGGTAGATAAGGAATTGGCTGGATGGTCACCCTCCAAGAGTTGCGGTCGACTGCTTGATGTCCAAGTGAAGACCAGTGATGAGTGGTGTTCCTCTGGGGTTGGTGTTGGGACTGGTGCTGTTTAACATCTTTGTTGGCGACACAGACAGTGGGACTGAGAGCACCCTCTGCAAGTTTGCCAATGTCACCAAGTTGCGTGGTGTGGTTGACACGCTTGAGGGAAGGGATGCATTCCAGTAGGACCAGAATGACCAGAGAGACAGGCTTGAGAGGTGGGCCTGTGCAAATCTCATGAAGATCAATGAGGCCAAGTGCAAGGTCCCGCACATGGGTTGGGGCAATCTCAAGCACACATACAGGCTGGGCGATAAGTGGATTCAGAGTAACCCTGAGGAGGAGGACTTGAAGGTGTTTGTGGTTGAGAACCTCAGCATGACCCAGCACTGTGCATTTGCAGCCCAGAAAGCCTGGGCTGCATCAAGAGAAGTGTGACCAGCAGGTCAAGAGATGATTCTCCCCCTCTACTCCACTCTTGTATGACTCCACCTGGAGTGCTGCATTCAGCTCTTGAGGACCCCAATATAAGGAGGACATGGACTTGGAGCAAGTCCAGAGGAGGCCACGAAGATGACTGTAGGGCTGGAACATCCCTCCTATGAAGATAGGATGAGAGAGTTGGAGTTGTTCAGCCTGGAGAAGAGAAGGCTCTGGGGAGACCTTCTAGCAGCTTTCTAGTACTTCAAGAGGGCCTTCAAGAAAGCTGGAGAGGGACTTTTTACAAGGACACGTAGTGATAGGACAAGGGGTAATGTTTTTGAACTGAAAGAGGCTATGTTTAGATTAGATGTAAGGAAATAATTCTTTACTGTGAGAGTGCTGAGGCACTGGCACAGGTTGCCCAGAGAAGCTGTGGCTGCCCCCTCCCTGGAAGGGTTCAAGGCCAGGTTGGATGGGGCTTTGGGCAACCTGGTCTAGTGGAAAGTGAAGGCCCATGGCAGGGGGACTGGAACTAGATGGTCTTTAATGTCCATTCCAACCTAAACCATTCTATGATTTTTATGACTGGGAGCTAGGGGGAAAAATGGGATTGGGGTTAAAGGAAAGCCAGGAATCCAGACTAAACAATAAAGGATGCTTCCTGCAGCCTAGAAGCATGTTAAGCTGTTGAGAGACTGGAGGACTTTGTGGTTGATGGATGAACAAACCGTCAATCTGCTGGTCCTGTCTTGCTGTATTTTATCTAGAACCTTTGGTCCTTCTGGAACTACATGATTGAGGGTGACACCATTATGCCTGGAGGAGGCAATGCTTGAGGTAGGTTTCCTCTTGCTGTCGTTTGCCAGTGCTGTGGGGAGACAGCTTCAGTCACTAGAGCTGTTGATATAATGCTTTTTCTTGCAAAACCCAGCCAGTGCTAGTCCTTCAGAGACCACCAATCAGACCCTAAATCATTAGCTTAAAAATAATATCATTTTTACAAGTAAACCTGGAGGTGGGTTCCCTCTTGTTTTCTGGTGCCTTTGAGGACGCAGCTTGCCAAGCTTTGTAATTCCCACATCTAAACACAGACTTTTCAAGTGGGGAGTTTGAGGGGGGTGGGGGTGGTTGCTTACGTTTCCTTTTTTAAAGACGCTAAGGGGAGTTGGGTGTTTTGGGCAGTGACCCAAGTCTGAGCAGTGCTTCCTACCGCTGGGGTTAAGATGCAGCAGTTTCCATAGCAGATGGCACTCGAGGGGTGACCCCGCTGCTGTTGCCTCCAGCTGCCTGTTGCTGTGGGGTGTCAGAGGCGGGGGGGTTGTAGCTGGCTGGCCTGCAGGTAGGCCTTGCAAGCCAGGTTCATGCAAGGCCTTCTCTTCCCTAATCAGACATCTTAAGCACATTATTAACTGAGAGGCATGACTGGAAGGAATTAACTCTTGATTACAGGAATTTAGGACTTCTTGAAGGAAAATGTTTCATGTGAGACCTGCTGCACATCACAAGCTGCCAGAACTGCAGGCTGGCTTTCAGATGAAAGAAATTCAGTGGTGCATCTGAACTGAGTAGCTAAGGGTTTTTTCACCTCACCTCCTTTTTTTTTTTTTTTTTTTTTTTTAATTTGAAGCCAATTTTAATGTGAACACCCAAAACTGGGGTACATACCGATTGATAGAGCCTTCTTATGGTACTTTTGTAGCTTCAGCTGACTAAGGAAAGCAACAACAAGGAACAGAGCCCTGGGGAGCGGGAATCCAGGCCCGCGTTCCCACACGCAGCCCCGGACAACTGAAAGGCGGCTCTTGTGCTGTCTGTTGGCTTGTGCCAAGGGAGCCGAACAGGGACTGGTGACAGATTTTGTTGTCCTAAGAAAATATTGTTAAGGATTTTCTTTTCTTCTTAGAAATGGTTTCTTCCTCTCTTGGGAAGCCTATAATAAGAGAGTTGGGGGGGGGGGGTAAGAAAGAAAATAATGCTGTTTGTTTGTTTAAATGTAGGTGGATATTTCCAGTTCTCTACTGTAGCTCTTAAAAAAAAAAAAGAATCAGGAATGTCTGTAAATAGCTTTATAAAGCTCCTCAGGGAGAAGTAACAGCTGAAACCTTCACCATCTAGAACTGGAGCATTGTGTGTTAGTGTTTTCCTGTGCTCTGCCTGCAAGTGCGATGAATCACCTACTGTCTGCACATCTCAGTATTTCTTAGGAGCTGGTGTCTCAACTGAAAAGATGGTTGGACTTTTGCTCCAAGTTATCTGGGCTTTTTTGTAGTTCTGTTAGTTATCACAGTAAATACCAGGGTGTTGAGACTATCCTATAATATTTTGTTGTAACCATTTGTTCAATAAACAGCGTGAATCTTACCTGCATGAAATCTGCAGTGTAGGAAAAACGTTGGCTTCATCATTTTAAAAGGATGATAGACTTGAAAATCATCCAGAGATTGAGACCAGTGCAAGTCATGAGAGCTTGGCAAGACTGCCTGACATTTCAGCAGTACGTGGTGAGTGTTGAACAATATAGTTGGGGTCGGCACTATGCTGTTAAATTCAAGAGCTGATGCCAAGAATGGGTGCTTTTAGGCAGTGAAAGATGATGTACACTTTGTTTTAAGCACTTCTGCTGGCCTGCTGGGGTGTGAGGGGGAGAAATAAAAGTTTAAAATGCAGTAATAAATCCCAGTTCAGCAGAACAAAACTTGACTATCGATATAACCGATGTATTATGTTTCTGTCCAGGGCTTGGGTTTTTTGGATACGCAAATTGCAATGTCAAAGCTTAGCTATCCGGGACATTCATATATGTAAGGGAAAAACACATAAAACTCACTAACACAGGAAGTTTTTAGTTGTAGTGGGGGATAAAAAAAAAGCTCAAGGCACTACTAGTATGTTCCTTAAGTTACTTGAACAGGAGAGTGGTGAATGCTGGAAGCTCTGCAGAATGAGAGTGCTAGCAATACACTGTGTTTGGACACCCCCAAAAATAGTGCCTGGCAGCGCTATTTTATATTAGCAGCTAGTGATTACAACCTTTAAGAGGTAGAAATATGAACAGGTTAATCTCTATTTAAGAGATGATCAGTTTTTTTTTTTTAACCCTTGACTGGATTAGGATCTGACATGCCGTTAGTCTTGGTTGTGTGCCCTGAAGATCAATGGGATGCTTTAAAAGGCAGGGTGAGGGGCACAGCACCCTTGGCTCTTCAGTGCTGGGTGTTGTGTGATTACTGTTAATTACAACAGATTTAGAAGCAAGGAGTTCCTTTCTAGACCTGCTGAGCATCTCATCCAGAAAAGGAGGCAAAGATATCCCACTTATGCTGGTTCTTCAGATTTGCTCTTGTTTGAAAAGCTCAGCTGTGTCTGTATGGACAGCCCAGTCTGAATTTAAGGATGTGTTTGGAAATGATTTCTTAATGTGGATAGGGGAAAGCCCGTTATTGATAGGCTTGTCAGGACTGCCAGAGTATGATGCCTTATGTTACTGCCACAAAAACGGAAGTGGGGACCTGTGGCAGCGCAGCCTTTAAAATGTAATTTTGTTAACTTTTTTTTTTTTTCAGGTTAGCACTACAAGAGGCACCCTCAGCTCCTCAGGCCAAAACACACTCACAGTTTTGAAATGGAAGCAGCAGTCTGAACCCCAGGACATGTTTCAGAAGGGTGGTCTGCTGGGCATTAATTCTCCATTTGAGGAAAGCTGGGTAAATTCAGCAAAGAGGTTGGTGGTATGGAGCTTTGACAGGCTACTTCCCAGCTCTCAGATATGGGTAACTTTTGTTTGTTCTTTCATTCTTCAAAGATCAATGCAAACCTTTATTTTCTATAAATAATTTAATAAATACTTTTGTTTTACAATGGTACAACAAATAACAAATTCATAGCAAATGAGTCACAAAGAATTTAGGATCAGTATACTTTAATAAGGTATCAGTGTCAAAATACATTTCCTTATCAAGTTAAAGTTCCCATACAGTTATAATATTGTCAATAAGAATTCAGCAATATAGATTACGAAATAATTATGATAAAAAGTATGATTAATATTAAGACATGGAATATTTTTTCAGAGTGTTTTAGTAAAATGTTAGGGTATAACTTTTTTAATGCTGAAACTACACAAATAAGAAACAGAAGAGCGGTATTCAAGTGTCTTTTAATCCTTGAAGCCTTCAAGTCCTTGCTACTGCAAATTTGTCAAATCTGGCTTGTCAGTTTTCATCAGGTTTTGATGCCTAGAATGTATTTTTTCAATGCAGTAATAATTTCATTGTAGGAATAGATTATTTTTGGTAATAAACTCTTGAAAGATTGCTTACAATAGGGACTATTTTTTTTTTTTTTTTTACATTATGTACCAATAACAAAAGATCTTCAGCTTCTCTAAGTATGTGTGGTTAATGCTCACCTAACACAGCGAATTCTGAAGTGCTCTATGAACGCAAGGCTTCCTCTCTGCAAGTGTCAGTGCATGATATAAAGCAATTTTATAAACCAGGCTTCAGCAGAATCAGAAGTCTCAAAAAGAATCTATCTACCTTTGTTCTAAGGTTCTGGGCCAGATTTTTACCTTTTGTACATTGCCAGTGCTCCATTTTCTTCAATGAAGCTATAGTGATTTATACCAGTGGAGGAAACAAGATGATATGTCCCAACAGATATCTAGGTCTATATGTATTTTAAAGTCAGGTCTGCTCACCTGCCTTTTATTACTTTGATTTTATAACGTTTAAGTATGTTGTAATTTAAACTTTCAAATCCCTTTGACTCTGAAAGCATTCAAAGCCTTTTTTTTTTTTGTAACGTGCATGACAACTAATGATAATTGAAAAGAAGCTCTGAAAATGGCTCCCTTTTTAATGACATTTCAGCTACTGATTAATGTACGGCAAGTAAAAATGCAAGAGACCTGCCGCCTGCCAGCTATTCATCTCACTACACCATCCTTAATTCTTTTTATCTACTTGTAACTGAGTTAGTCTAACTCTACTACCTTAACTTTTAGATTTAACAATTCAATTTTGCAATTAAATTTCTAGCTAGCATATAAAATGAAAAAGGGTAACATTAATGAGGGGTGTTAATAGTGGCTGCTGGTCAGATTCCTGAAATATCAGCAACACCATAACAAATACTAGTAGTTCTAGCAGAAACAGCTCTTAAAGTTGTTGTGTCCTAGATATAGCAATAAGTACCAAGAGATGATTAACAACTGGCCCAGAGAGAAATTAAAAAACAAAATAAAATAAAATAATCTCTTGTGTATAAGGAAAGGAAAAAAAAAAAAGAAAGGAAACAACAAAGAACAAAATAAGAAGCTCTGACACAAATGAAACACAGGTCTAAATCCTCCACTGGAGTAAATCTGTAGGACTCCCTTGACTATAGAGCTAAGCCAGGTTAAGGCAGCTGAGAATATGACTTGGTTTTGAGGAAAAAAAACTTACAGTGTGCAACTTTCACAGATACCCACGAACATTGCCATTCACCATTCATGTTTTCTTTCAACAAAGTGTATAAAAATGAAGGGGAGGAGATGTGGAAGGCAGAAGGCTGGGATTTTTCTTTAGTATGCTTTTCCAAAAGTATTAAAGTTACAACATGATAAATGCTGGAAAACAAGGACTCAAAGGATATCAATTTGGCAGATCAACAAAAAACTGTGGTTGGAGATCAAATTTGTTTCATTCATCTTTGGCAATAAAAATAAATCTTTGCGGTACTGCAGCCAAAGTATCACATGAGGCATTTATACCACAGCTTTTTATTAGCATGAAATTTGAAGCAAATTTCAGTGTATAAATTACAGGTAATGAGATAAGGGGAGGGTAATCAAACTCTCTAAATAACACTTCAATTGCAATACAGAAAATACAGTAGATGTATTTCTTTAATATGAATAATAAAGTGAGTAACTTCAAAAGGCCACTATTTGGTAACGTGGACAGGTTCAATATCTAAGTAAAATCCTGTAAAAGTGTATTGGTATTAGAAATTGTCTACTTGCAAAAATATATTTAAAAACTGAAGCTGTTTTGAACAGTATAGGCCACGGCACGGAATATTGCAGGACTGCTCAGGTTGCCTGGTCCAGAGCTCTGAGCAGTTCGCTGCCCTGCAGAAGTGTAGAGCTGCCCAAAACAGGGACATTCACCTCACAGTCATATCTTGTCAACTCGGGTAACAAGTAGGGTTCAAAGGAGGGCCCCAGCAGACGACTGGCCATACCTGGAAGAGATTAGTGAAGTAAGTCAGGGTGCTGAGACCAGAGAGAGGACTTCTTTCCTCTCCTCCCTCTGCCGTTTATAGCAGTTACAATTTCATTTTGTGTTTGTGCCAATATGTCTCAAAACACCAGCAGTGACGGGTTTCAGAGCAAGCCTATGCCTTGCTCTGCCTTAAACTGTTGTGTCACACAGACGTGCAGTTTTTCAGCTCCATCCCTGATTTAGATTGTTCTGAGAAAAATGATATTGGTGCAGATGACAGCTGTAGTAAACAACACTGTTTCTAAATTGACACCCACTCCCCTTATACATTAAAAGGGACATATGTACATCCCTTTTAATTACTTATTTTAACATTTAGAAGGCATATGTTAAGACTAACCTACAAACCTCACATATCGATGCTGCAATTAAGTTGTTTAGTACAATTATCCATCACAAGACAAGAGTATGGATGGGGGATGACTGGACCTCCAAGGTAAAAAGGTATTAAGTTTAATTGAAATGAAGGGCAAAAATATTTTTTCCTCATGTCCTACGAATTTAAACATTAAAGTTTCACATTAAACAACAGAACTAATTTTTCATTCTATGAAGCCATGAATATTTGGTTATCAGTTTCTCATCCTCCTCCATATTTTAAGTGTTTTCTTTCATGGAATCAGTATTGGAACTATATATCAAATTTTCCAGTTTTCCTAATTGACAGCTCTTACCTGACGCTTTATGAGCTGGCTGGACAGTATAGGCCTGATAATGGGAACTGTAAAACGGAGGGGGAAACGCTCTTGCTTTCAAATTCTCACCAGGACTGGGTGGTTGCTGCTGCTGCAGCTGATTCATTGGTTGGCTCAGACCTCTTGAGTTACAGACAAATTCATCTGATTTACATAGCAGGGGGGGAAAAAAGTTAAATTAAGCCAGTGTAATAATTGTAGTAGATAATAGTAATTCAAAGTACAGTGATCCTTGTCACGACAGTCACAAGGCGTAGGCGTACCTACATCTTGGCACAGAGGAAGTCCAGAAGCAGCACTAATTTTAGAAGTAGTATTGCACCCAAGATATGCTTGTGTAAGGAAACACAATGTTGTAGACAGAAAGTATCAGTTCTAGCTCCAAGATGTCTGCACTTTTGATCAGCATGAAGTAAATCCATCTCCACTAAGCTGATCTGTTGTTACCTCTAAAGCAAGGGCATGAACATACATGAAACCATCTACCTAGCAGTTATTGAATGTACCTTAAATTGTTCACTTCTTAGTGATATAACCTGATCTTTAATTTTAGCTTAGTGTAATATTTATAGATCTTATTTACATTTTGTTTTGAAAGAGTCCTTGTTTCTATTCAATGTCTTAAAATTGTGTTTCAGTGTGTAACACTGCTAAACCACTTTTCTTTTCTCTTACCAGTAAGAACACTTGTGCTGAGAGATTTCTTTTCTGTAATCAAGGAACAGTTTTCCCCTTTGAGAAATTTCATTCTCTTCCACATTAGGTGAGATGGGTTAATGACAGATGGATCTCCCTAGAATGTGAAGAAAAGCAAAACAATGAATTACTGATGGCTGTGGTGAGTCCAAAGTTGTGAGGGGGATGCATTTCTTATGATTACCCCACTCAGCTGTTGCAACGCTTGTTCTTCATAGTCCAGTTGTCGCTTCAGTTTCAAACTGTTAGACAGAGCAATTCTTGCTGGGTTTACATCTATGCCTCGTTGCCCAAAAGCATCCAGGGTCCTGTGGAGAAAAGATCTCTCAATGAGTGAACAAAGAGGCAAATCGAAACTTTATACAAATTTCTTCATTCATTTAAAGACATTTAAAGGTGTCTGACACACAACAGTGGACAGACTTCAAACATCAAATGTTTTTATTTCCTTTTGTTAGTCATTCCACAAAGTTTGGAAACTTTTGACTTTTGGGATCAGACTAATGGAACTCTAGTATAAACAGCCTCTAGGGATCTCCAGACAGACATGAAAATGCTGTGGAAGAGGAAGTCATGTGATTTTTAAGGATAGGATTTTGAGAGCTATGCCTATCCCCTTGCTTTGCATATTAAATATCAACACACAGGCTGCTGTTTGGGGACAAACCCTCTCTTTCCAGATGCATTTTCAGACACTGGTATTTCTGCCAGCAAGAAATCCCAGAAAGCAAACTGCAGCCAAACTGCACAGCTTCATGTTTTACAATGACCACTGCTATTTTATGTACTTCCTGAATGTTATAGCATGACCAACACTGAAGAACCAAGAGCTACAGAGAAACTTCTAGCTATGACAAGAAACTTCTAGGACTGTAGCCTCTGATCTACATCTCATCACACACTGTTCACATGTGTAAGAAGGTGAACAAGATGAAGGGTTGTAGAAAAAAAGCCTGTAATTTTAAATCTTAGTTGTAGTATTTACATATGCCAACAATACATGTACTGTCACCCCTCCCTCTCCACTATTTTTTGTTGTGCAAAGGATACACATGCAAGGTAAGAAAGTACACATGGGTCCCAGCTTACTGCTTGACCAATAAGCCTTTTCAGTACTTTTTCTTAAACTGCATAAAGTCAAGCAGGCTTTGCAAAATTATTGGGGTAATTTTTTACCTGACCAACAGGAAATCCATTCATGCATCCTTACAGGCAATGAAAACTTAGCCCACTACTGCTCCCACCAGTCTGACTGTCACTGGGAGAGCATCACACTAATTTCCCCAGAGGTGCAGTCTGATGCCTATCAAAACAACCATTCCAGATAAATCAAGGAAAATCATTTTTCAAGATTATGACCTTCCTCATCCCCCCCCAATCTTTTCTGACTAAAATACATAGTTATACTTCAAAAATTCTTACCTTTTTTTATATACGGGCATGCTTGGAGAATGTACTGGTGGCCCTGAGGGGGAACTTGATAGGGATCCTGAGTATTTATCCACAAGTCTCCACTTAGGAGGAACATATTCTAATGGGGGATCAGGTGGCCACTGGGTGTTTGGTCTTCCTCCCATTGAAGACAGAGGAGTACTGGCTTGGTCATGGTATGGTGGCAGTGATGACCTACTCACATTGTTGAAAAACACTGATGACAGGGACCCATGACCAGGGTTAATGTTTTTATTTGACAGCTGTGGGCAATATTTCTCTGGGAGGAACTGATTCTGTGAAGCAGAAGCAAGGGGCTGGAAGATGGTACTCGTGCTACTTAGACTCTGCTGGGTATTTTGTGTACTTTCAGAGAGAGGACGTTCTTCTTGGCAGATTGGGCTGAGCTGGAAATCTTCTCCATCCATAGGAATGTAAGGAGCCAAGGTTTCAAGGTCCAGTTCATTGAAGTCAGTCTGTACAAAGGTAAAGTAAGTTCATAAACTAGAAGTTAATAGTAGTTGTGGCAGTTAGTGTGATATGGAATACCAGTAGATGTGAAGCTGAAAAATCAGTGTATGCCAAATTTACCTACATGAAACTGGCCAGCTCCTATTTAAAGATGTCTTATTTCTGTGACTAGCCTACATGTTCATCATATCATCAGCAGCAAAGACAGACAATAAACGAAAGAAAAAAGCCTCCCAGATATGCAGCATTTGCTAAATCAGCTTGCATGCAGCCTGCATCATCAGTGTGGTCTGCAGTAGATCTTGTGTTTTATTATGATTTGAGTAACTTGTCTGCCAAGACTCTACAACATGTGGCATGTAGTTCAACTTTAGGCTTTTTAATGCTAAAATAGAAAACCGTTTTCTCTTAATCCAGCCACATGAAAAAAATGCGTCTAAAAATGCAAAAGGTTTTAAAAATGTAGTTGGAAGGACACTGCTGCACTTATTTTTATTTTTTTTTTCTTGGAGGACTAGTCATATTTAAATTAATTTCTCTTGGAGCTTGACCAGAGCTGAACAGAGAGGGAAATCAATGTAGGCCCACCAGTCAGGTCATGGCAGGGACACTTCTCTAACACTCATTTTTCCCATCAAAGCTGCTGATGTGGTGGGACATACCTGAGTAAGAAGATGCTGAGTCTGATAAAACTGAAGTTTGCATATGTCAAGTCTTGCACTGAGTTTGATCCTGACCCACATTTTCCTCCTATCTGTCCATTCTTTCTGTTGCTTTCATTGCTGTTTCTATGTCCAGACATAGATAAGATTTCCTCAGGACAGACTACAGCCTACCTGAGTCTGCAGATTGCACTAGCAAATTGAGACACCTCATTTGGAACACAGTCGCCCCAAACTTTCTATAGGATTAATAGAAGGAGGTGAGTGTAAAGTCTGAGCTGTTGGCCAGCAATGCTTGTTCTGTTCTCTTAACTATAAAGAAGTATAAGCTTTTAACAAAGGCATTTCAATTAAGTGTCTAAAGTTAGGTGGGCTGAATCAGGCCTACACCTTTTATTCACTGGCTCACTTGAGGTAATGTTATAATAGTGGAGGATTAAAAGAGTTACAGAGGGCACTTCTACACTTACACCCAGACTAGAATGCAGGAGATGGTATGTTACTGTATGTGGAAATAATTGTCCTATCTCTCTGAAATCCTCCAAGAGGTAAAACAAGAAGAATATATCCAGAATGACAGTTTTCATTTTGTTGTTAAAGGAGATATGTGCTATGATGGTCATTCCTTTCTCATTTTGACATTTTCCAAGATTTAATTTGTTTATATTTTGTTCTAGAAAGGATGTTACTTACTACTCATTAGGCCAGATTAAAAAAAAAAAAAAACAACAACCCCACAATATTGTAGCTACTTATATTCCTTCTCCAGTCTACAGAAGCTTCCAAATTCTGAAAGCTCTTTGCCGCTTCTTTCTTCTTAGCAGTGCCACCACAGTGACACCCTAAAGCACTTGCTTCAGAGAGTTAGGGATAGAAAGTGCATGGTTTTGCTAGAGTCGTGCATCAAAGCTTTGGTGTATATGTGCAAATGCAGTTTGCATGTTCTGTCATGATATCTGCACATACAGCATGCATCTCTACTGCAGTAACAGGGGACTGATTTTTATGACTTTTGGAAGAGAGATTAGTTCCTTACCTGGGAGGTACACTGACTTTTTGATTCTGTGTCCACGGCAAAAAGTTTTTCAATCATTTCAATCTTAAAATCTTCATCCACAGAACTGTAATAATCTCCTGGGCTGCTTGGCTGAACAGAAATAAGAATTTGCTATAAGCAGCAAGACAACTACCATATTGGCTTAGCATCATGCCGTTTATACTGTACTACTCCGTAACAGGCCTTCCCTATGAAAAGCAAATGGCCAGACTGTATATATAGTGTCCTTAGAACCCAAATTGTCTGCTTTTAGCATATGCTTTTCTCCAACACAAGATTACTTGTCACTACAGAACACAGGAACCCAGTTGTTGTCTTGTTTTTTGTTTTTTTGTTTGTTTTTTTTTTTTTCCAATTCAGACCAGAAACATGAAAGGTACACTATTAAATACTTTTGTCAAGAAGGGAGATTCTTAGCAGTACCTTAACGGCTTTAAGACTGGACATCCTCTAGTAAAGGCCAGCTAAGAGTTCCTGGGGGCAACACCCTGAAAGCATGTTCATTTTTTCAGTGGGGAACTCCGTGGAGCTGCCCTCAAAAGCCTGAGTTGGGGTAAGCTTTCTAAAGACTATAGCTTCTAGTTAACCAACAGAAAGAGGATGAGTCTGGGGCAATGCTGCTAGGGACCACACTATTTTACATTGGCTTTTTATTAAAGCTAAATCCGTGAATGGTAGTAGCACATTCTTCTACTAGTTGTTTTATTTGTTATAGTGATTACTGAGGAACAGCTGGGAGAAAATGAGGATTGCAATGTAAAGGCAGGATATATTTTCCCTTTAATGTTTTTGCTATTGATGCTTAAGATGTATGCAGTACAGAGGAATATGAATACACTGGGCCTTGTTAATAAGCAATGACACAGGACTGCTAACATGAAAATGTGAGCTGCATATACTGATGGGACTTTCATAAAAAATATCTCATGCTTTTTTTTTTAAAAAAAAAAAAAAGCTGCTCTTACCGTGGAACAGCTACTGTTGCTGCTTGCACTTGGAGTACTGTTGCCAGGTGCAATCTGAGGCATTGTAAAGGATGGTATCGTCAGTGTTTCACCTTGAGCAGTGTGGTTTTTCACTTCCACTGGCCATGCTTTGTTTGGTGTCAAAACAGCACCGGTGAAGGCAGGGGCTTCTTCAAACTTCTGCGTCCCTGGATGGAGTTTTAACAATATTAATGAATGCTTTTAGCTTATGCTGTATTGTGATATAATTGCAGCTATTCATTAAAAGTAAACACTGCTCATAGTTGCCATGACAATATGTTGGCAGAGAATCGATGCAGGTTGTTTAGTCAGCAAGAAAGCCTGACTCTGCTCTCATTCATGAAAATTTTCCACTGCTGTGAGCACATGGGCTCTTATAGCCATTACTCCTGATTTGTACACACAGCGAACAGACCTTGTCTATTAAGTTTCTAAATGCAGGCTCACACGTGGTTCTTTGTTGCACAAAAATTATTTATACAAACACTAACCAAAATCCAGGGAAATAATGGCATCGCCGGGTGTTGGTGCCAGCTGAGCCAGTTCCTCTGGTTCCTCCTTTAACTTAGTAAATAAGAAGTCGCTCTTCTCCGTCCCGGGGATGCCGCTTTCGTAGGCAGTGCTCATCGTCAGCAGGTGAGGCTTGAAGAGCGATTCCGTTTGGTCCATGGAGAACACAACATAGTTCTTCTCAATTTCACTAACAAGAAAATAGGTTTTAGGCATTTTGCACTCTAAAAAAAAAAAGATGCAGGTAATGTAGGCAGTACAAACTCTAAAGCTGGGGCTACAAGCATTTTGGACTCCCTCGGTCGCACGCCAGGCTCTCGACAGGCGAGGCACGGTTCCAGTGTTGCTGAGCACCACCGTCTCAGATGACGCAGAAAGTGAGGTCAGGACTTCTGTGGGAATACTCAGGGCTTTGTCGCTCTGCTTTTTAAAGGGACGTAGTCAAGGCTATAATGACCCTGACTATCACTCAAATAAGTATTTCCTATTTTGGCCCCATCTAGGACCAAAAATACTTGAGTTTTGCCAAACAGAGGCAAAATTCCTGATTGGTTCTGATTTTTGAGTTGGTAAACAGCTTCTCCTAGCAACATAAGATACAATTACGTCTTAATTTTATCTCTCTGTCACAGCATTAGAAAAAGAAAACACATTAGCAGTCGCGTTACACAATAAAATCTTCCGTACAGGCTTCGTACTCTGGTGTATCAGCACAGCAGCCACACTGCAGAAGAGAAAGGCTACGGTGTATTTCAACAGCATGTATGGGAACAGGCATGCCACATTTTTCATCGATGTCTAACATTAGTAAACAAGAATGAACAAGCATGACTAAACTCATTGCAGAATAACAACAATGAATAAATAGACCCTTCAAAAGTTTCTCTGATTATTGCATTTCTTCCAGCACATGAATCCATACGTATTTTTTCTGTCCCACACAACTTACCTCAGTACATAGTTGACACAGACGATACACTGAGGCTGGAGGTTGCGCGTATTGTAAATCACTGTTCCTTGAGTCTCCAGCCATACATATCCACCATGCTTGGCAAGCATACGGTACTGGCCTGTCACTACTTGGCCTTTTGTACACACTAAGAAAAGGAGGCAGAGAGAGATATAAATAATGCAGCAGGACAGGAACGCACAATATGTAACACTTGTTTTAAATAAATCTACTTAAGAGTTAGGGGCTGGAGATATCAACATCACAAATAAAGTGAAGGTGGCACTGGCATGGCATTAATCTTAAGAGGCTGAAGAATTAATATCACTCTTCAAAAAGTATCAAAATTAAGAACAGTAAATGGGACTGTTTTGCCTAGGAGCAAAAACCAAACAAAGCGCAACTACACTATTTCTCTCTCTGAACCCATTTGACACATCAAATGTTTATTTAACTCAAAATAGTTTTTTTTTGAGCGAGCTGGGCTGTGTTTTTCAAGCAATAAACTGACAGTAGTACAACTCACATTTAAAGATTCCTCTAGATGTTCAAAGGGTGAAATCCACCCTCCCTTTCCCCTCCTCCCCCCTCAATATTTTGTAATATTTAAAGAGAATGAGTTTTCAGTGTGGAGCTTTGGACTTTGGAGAGGTAAAGTTTTATGATGTCCTGTCTGTTGTAAATACTTTCCTAAAAGCAATGAATATTGTCATGCAATTCACAGTTGCTGGCTGAGGAAAAACGTTGTCAATCAATGACAATAAAATAAGGGCTGGAGTATGCAAGCAGTACTCCTACTAATAAGAGTTTCTATTTGTAAGAAGATGGAGTCTGAGCAGCAAAAGTGGGAACTGGCTCAGCTAAACCTCTGACCGCACTGGCACTCTTGCCTTTTAAACAGCTTCTATGGCTGACAACAGTATGCCATCAAACTAATGCCCTAAAAATAATGCAGTTTGACTCAGTAAGGCTGGAAACTTGATTCTGTAGTCTTTGTACAGAAAAATTCCTTGCGAGTGTGGCAATTAACAGAAGCTACTTATTGTCAAGCCTCTCCTACATCTCCACCATACAAATGTACAGATTCAGGCCTGTGAAATGCAACAACTGTTTTGCAGATAACTGTTGCGGTGTTTATCCTTCTATCTCTGAAGTTTGTTTTTCTTCATGGGAGTATTTAATCATCCTTCATTTAATTTATTTAGACAAAGTAGAACATTACTTTTATTGATTAAATACTTCTGGTGGAACAAAATCAAAAGGCTTTCATTTCAAAGTGTTTTAGTGACTGGACTGTTCTGCTCTGCTTGTGAAACATAATTACACTGCTTCCTAATCATCAGCTCATCAATAAGAGTCACAGTGTAGGCGCCTGTTACATTACAAAGAAGCTTTTTACTGCTTTAATCTTTTTTATTATTATTATTCAAAGCATGTCATGTTCTGATATAATAAAGTACAGCAGAATCCTGTGGGGTAATCTCATAAATTACTAATATGTTCGTAACGGCTGACTTTCTTACCAGTGCTACATTTAAGGTTCTGCCTTCAGAGCGAACGTCTCACTTCTTTTTAAGTATACCTTACCTTTATCTTTACAGAACTAGTAACATCTCAATGAAATAGGGTCCAATTATATTCCTTATCTTTGAGCTGAGAAAGGGGGAATGCAGGGATGGATTTAATTAAACACAAAATTTGATTTTTAATTGCTGAGGGACACTTGAGAAATACGATTCATTTGGAAGGTTTGTCAAA